TGAACTTAACTTGGCTATTCTAGAAGTCCTGCTTCCCCTCTAAGATTTTCTAACAGTATTTCTTATGGTTCTCCCAAATATACTTGGCAAGTCATCTTACAAACCACCAACATTAACTCCTTAAAAAAATTTAAAAATTACTCAACTTGGCTAACAATATAAATACAATTCAACAATTATCGAAGAAATTAAATATAAAAGAAATTTTAAAATTGCAGTGTTGAAATTACCAGTCATACCTCTCCAGGTCTTTTTCTATATTACTAACCTTCCTGGGCTTAGCTTAAATACTTCTCAGAAGATTCACTTGTTTTATATCAGGACGGGCAAACTATGGCCTATGGTCTGTTTTTGTACTGTCTGCAAACTAAAGATGGTCTTTACATTTTTAAAAGGTTGTAAAAATAAAGAAATAAAAGATGATGAAGATGCAACAGAGTGTATATGGCCCTCGAAGCTTAGAATATTTACTCCCTGGCTCTTTACAGATAACATATATATTTGACACACTTGTTAACTCTTTCTATCTAGTACACTCTAAACCACTTGGAAATTAAACCTCATTATACATTCTCTCTCAACTTGAAATAGGTGCCCCTGTGTTAAGGCTTCATTAACTTTAAGATATACAGAGACTGTCGTAGTCAACTGTATTTGTATCCTCTTTCTTATTCTCCTGACAATTATATATAGTGGCAAAACATCTTCAAAATGATATTTAAGGAAAATGTCAAATGTTATCAAATCCATCTAGCTTTCCAAAGATCCTCAAAATCTTTCTGCGCCTCTCACTCCCTCCCGTCACCCCACATTCCACAGCTGGAAAAAAAAGAGATGGTGTAATCATGCCGACATTCTAATGCATGCAGTCCTTACCAGAAGTCCTCTCTAAGTTGTGATGAAAAGCACGTGCCCTGGACCCCTGCATCCTACCTCTATCAATCTCACCTTAGAAAGCCACCCAGCCTTATACTGTACTGAAACAAAGAGCGTAGACACCAGCACTTCCAACTTCTTTTATCGCCACTTCACTATTTCTCTAAGCATTTCTCTCTATGGTAATTCTTGTTTTTCTACCATCTACTATCTCAGAAGAGGAATTATTCCACTTTTCCACAGTTACCTCCTCAAATTTGTGCCTTTAATTCTCCCCCTCCCAAATATGCCAAGATTTTGCTCCATTGTTTATTCCCTCTCTTGGAACTTCACTCTCACCCTTTCTTTCACCTTGATCCTTCCCTTCAGCCTTTACTTCTCCTAGACCTTAAAACACTTCCCGTGATCTGATAGCCCTTCAAACTGTGAGGTACACGCCCCATTTCTCTCTTTCCCATTAAATGGCAAGATTCTTGGCCAACTTCTTTATTCCAAGTTCCCATAAATCTTTAAAATGACCAATGACCTTTCAGTTAGCACAATCAGTGGCCTTCAATTCTTACGCTTTTCAGTCTTTCTGCAGCATTTGGTCAGATTCTTAGATTTCTTCCCCTTTCATCTTCCATCACACTAACTCTCTCAGTTCTATTTTTCTGACCACTCTGATTTTATATGTCTATTTGGTTTTTCCTTTTTCTCCCATCCTTAAAAACCAAATTTTAAGTCTTCCCCAAACATCTTTACTTTGCACACTTTTCTCTCTTCACATTGGTATCCCTTGGCAATCACACTCAATCTTAAAGTTTCCACTATCACTTCTACAACACAATAACCCCCAAATCTATAACCTTCATTCCTGAAATTTCTCCCTCTCTGCTCCCCACCCTCCCACCCCATCTCATCTTCCACCATACCACCCACCTGTCAGTCTGTCTCCATCAACTCTCACCTTGTCTTCTGCTCTCCATTCCTGCTGTGGCTACCCTCCTTAAGACCATTAGTGCCTGGATTCTGGTAATAGTTTTCCAACTCTTCTTTCTGCTACCATTCTCAGTCTATCTCCAGTCCATCTCACATACTGCTGACAAGTTAATCTCTCCAAAGCACAGTTCTGAACATGTCACTCTCCTACTTAAAATTCATTTGGTGCCAACATTGGGAATATACTAAATGCCACTGAATTGTTCACTTTAAAATGGTTAATTTTATGTTATATGATTTCATCTCATTAAAAAAAAAATTTTTACGGAAAAGGAGGAATCAGTGCTTTCCTACAAAATTAAGCTCAAATGCCTTACACCTAGCCTTGACTCACTCTCCACAGCTGGTCCCAATCAACCTTCTCAACTTACTTCCTCCTTTTCACATTCTTCATTTCAGCCTAACTTTGCTTCCATGTTTTCTTACTTCCATAACTTCAATCATGCTGTTCTATCAGCCTCTAATACTTATTTGTTCTCAGCTCCAAACATCCAAATATTAGCCTTTGTCACAATTCGAATTCCTTTTTCTAGAATTCTTCCCTGATCTCATTTCCCACCCTAAAGCATTTGTTCACTCTTCTGAACTTCCATAACACAATATAGTCAGTCATTATTTCACCCAACACTCCAGTGCCTCCAATGTGCCAGCCCTCAGTGCACTGGAGCTTGTGTTTGGGATGGCATTTCCAAGGCCATGTTGATTCTGGATATGGGATATGTCTGTAGGCATAATTAGACATCTCATAAAATCTAAATGGGAACTCCCATTATTTCTCAAGTGTTGTTAGCACTTCAAGTGTGGGGACTCATTCTACTTTGACAACAGCAGTCAACTCATGGTGCAGAAGAAATTACAATAACTTACATTAAGAGACATTTATCTATGTTTCGGTTTTGATCAGTAGCCAGTCTGACCAAGGACAAGGCTCAAAACTGATTTTATTCCAATAGCAACACTTAAGTTCCCTCTTAAACTATAGAAAATGAGGGATGGAAGTGGAAGAAGAGAAACTTTTCAAGTGCTTAAATAAAAATCCCCCAATTTGGAAGTAAATGGATACCAATAAATTGGTATGGATACCATAGGGCAATAAATGGCCTACTTTGATCCTATTTCCACTATTAATCATCTCAACTAATTAAAAAAACAACACTGCCTTTATTTTGCTTTATTTAATATCCTGAGGAACGTAATGTCTGTTCCTCAAGAGCTGACCAATTATTTTTACAAACCGTGATTACTGGCGGCCCAGATTAAGATAACATTTTTGTTGACATAGGGGTGACCACTAAGTCAGAAAATCCTGACAAAATGTTTTAAATAAGAAATAAGGGGGTTGGCGATTCTTGTCAGCGATTCTCCAGAACTCAGACCTTGTCATTTTTGCTGCTAGGCACCCACAAAGCCTTGCTTGTTACATTGATCTCCTTCAAGACTGAAAACCACTTCAAACTTTGAGGCTCAGACTAAAGAGCCTGCGGGTCCCTGCGGCCCCAAGGTCACAGCTGTTGCCTTCGGGCTCCCTTTAAGGGCTCTCCCCGCCTGCTCTGCTCACCCATGCCGAAAATGCTCCTGCTAGAGAACCGACGCGTCTGCAACACGTGCACCTTCTCGCGGAGCCGCTGCAGAAGAAAGTGGAGGAACTGGAAGCGTCCCAGAAAAAGATTCCTGGAGACCACTTCCAGGTGCAAGCAATTTTGCCCGTGCAGATTTCGGATCCTCCGCGGCGAATAGTCCCGGGCTCCACCGGGCAGGTTCCCGCCGCCTACGGGCGCAGGCTGCTGCAGCAGCTCCGGCTTTTCCACCTCCTTCTGCGACTCCTCCTCCATCTCCGGCTCCCCGGCTCCGGTGGGCCGGCGCCGCCGCTTGGACTGCATGGAGCGGGAAGATTGGCGCGGCTCTGGCGCCGCTCCTTTGAGCTTACTCCTCGTTTGCCCGACCATTTTCTCATAGTCCCCGTTCGGATGGAGCTGGGTTACTCTTCTGCGCGGCCCAGCCGAGGCGGGCGAGGTCCGGAGGGCCCGGGCTCCCCTCACAGCCTCAACGACTCGTCCCTGCCACCGTTGAGGGCCGCCGCGTCGTCATGGCAACCGCGGAACGCGGCGTGGGGCCGTGCGGTCGACGCTGCCGCGCGCGCAACCCCTGCGCGCCACCCCACGCGCCCTCCCCGGCGCGCGCGCTGCTTTCCGCTTGCGGTCCCGGTCTGTGCCCTGCCTCGGGCCGTAACCCTGCGGGCGGCCGCTTCTGAAGAGCTTCCTGCCATTTAATTCCTTTTTTCGAATTCAGACTTAGCTTTGACTATTTTACTGAAAGGTTACACGTTAATTAACGAGGTTAGCAAAGGGGAAGGAGAGCTCAGCTAAAATAAACGACTGTAGAAAGACAGCGAGTGAAGCCAATGAACACGGCGGCGCGCCTGTGGTGCGCCCGGCTCCTAAGGAACTCTCTCCTCTCTTGCGAACACGCTATAGTGGGCATTGAGTTTCCATCTCTGATGCTGAGGGAATGGCCCAAGGACACGGGCAACACGTGGCAGAGCCAGTGTGAGTCCGCTGGATCTGACCGCAAAGCCTCAGATTGACGCGCGCTCGGTGGCACGGCGGTTTCCCAGTTCAGGAAAGTAAGCCGATCTGTTCCAACAAGGTTCCTCAGAATTCCTCAGCCTTCGGAGCGTTGAGCTCAGCGATTTTAGCACTCTCCTAAACCAGACACCCTTCAGTACCAACTAAGAGAGTAGCGCTTGGCTGCATAGTCGCTACACAGCCCAACAGGAAGCCACAGCGGCTGGCACAGGTGGACAGGGGCCAGTGACGTTTTCCGTGTCCTCTGTCACAGGCTGTATCGCCCGAGTCCGCACGGCTTCACCTCCCATCTGTTTCGTGATGAGTCAGATGTGAACTCCGTAATCCCCATTTTCCCGTCTAAACTATGGCCCATTGAGGCCAGGTTAATTTTCCTGATGCAGCACAACTCAAAAATGTTCATAGCTCCCTAAAGCCCACAAATAAAGTGAAAACTCCTTGGCTTGCTCATCAATGCCCTCAATAATCTGCCCCAATCTACATTGTCCACTTTAATTTCCCACTTTCCTGGACATAAATCTTCCATCTCAGTCATTCTGAGTGAGGTCTGCAAGATGAGACTCCATGATTACTGTATTCCTTTACTCATACCGAAAAGCCATCCTGTACCTTTTTCACCCTTTTGTCCCTATCTCAATCCTATCACCTTCCAAGCCCCAGCCCCTTTCTCCAGCCTAAATTAATTATACCTTCTCTGAAGGACAGCACTTATTGATAGTACTATTCATCTTGTCACTCATTTAAATTTAGTAAGTACCATTGCTGTTTATTTGTTTTGTAAGATTTTTTTCTCAAGAAGCACTTCTATATTCCTGGCACTGTGTTTGGCGCTTAAAATGTTTCCTCACTTAATTTCTACAATAACTATGTGCAAATTAAAAAATTGAAGATCAAGAATGTAATTTGCCCAAGTTTTAACAGCTAATAAATTCTATCCGTTCAATATTGAAGAGAGATACAAGGAATTTATGGGTGGCTGATAAAAATAAATTCTTGGATGAATATACAAACTCAAAATAAAACAATTTATTTTTTAACATGAGTATTTTAATGCTTTTTTTTGGAACACTAAGTGGAATGCAATGATTATGTTTCTCTTTTTGGTCAATTTGTTTTTTTCTGGAGTTTTCAGTCACCTTTCGGGTCACTCAATAAAACATGTTCTTACCTGTGGTCTAGCCATTGAAAGTACAAATCTGGTCATTTTTGCCATTTAAAAATTAATCTTTTTAGAAGAATGTTCATTATACTATTATTTGTATCAGTGAAAAAATAGAAATTGTCTCAATGTCAAACATTAAGTTATGAAACATATAGTGAAGCACTATAGCACTAAAGTCATTTTGAATGATTATTTAATGATATAGGGAAATAGTCATGATATAGTGTTAAAGGAAAAAGAGGCAGGATCTATTTTATGATTTAGATATATAGTAAACACATTAACTATCTGCCATGTCCCTCTCTAAATTTTTTACATAGAGAATTCATGTAGGAAGATTACCGGTGAGTGACATTGAACTGGTAATTTATTCATTTTAGGATTAATTTCCTCATCTGAAAAATGAGAAAAGTTGTATCTGTCTTACTGGATGGTATGATTGAATGAAGTAATGCTTGTAAGGAACCTAAAACATAGCACATGCTTAATAAGCAAATGTTCCTTTATCAACTTCTATTAATAGATTGGCCATCCTACGGTGCACTAGTGAGTATTAATACTTTCAATTAATATTTTGCTCACCTGGATTTTTTACAATCCAGTTATATGTTAGTTCTATTATTGAACTATGTTAGTTCTATTATTGAATACATGTTCTAGGTTCATTAGTTAACTGAGAAAACTGAGAGAGAGTTGTGTAAATAATTATACCTTCTCTTACCAGGAGAGATTTGTGCATGAGAGGGAAATCATGACAGTTGTATTCACAATTGAATAGAATCATGGATGTTTCCATTTTTTTATAACTTCACTAACAGTTGTCACTTATTTTGACTTAGTTATTTTTACCAGTTATTAGAGTCACATTTTAACTACATGCTAATTAACGACGATAACTTAAACCAGTATGCCTGATACTTATTCTATGAATCAACAATTAAAATAGCACATTACAACTTAATATAATGCAATATATTCTTGCATTATCTTATCCTCTTTGAAATGAAGTTGCTTCATGATTTAGCAAATTTTTTTTATTACATAGAGATTTCTGATCCAGTCATATACATCTAAAACTTGCCTCTGTTTTCCCTTTGTTTTTTAGTAAAGCAATGGGTTATTACGAAAAATGCAATTAAACTGCGTAACCAGCAGATGGCAATAATGACCTGTAAATCAAAACTTTTTAAATTTTTAGGTAGTTTTAAATTCATTTTTAAAAAGCAAAAATCACTGGTGTTCTTATAAATCAGTTTACTAAATATGGAATATAGGGAAATTTTAAATGCAACCTCACATAAAAATAATTACATATTTCATATATCACAATAATTAAGATATTCATCATGGCCAATATTTAGTTTTCCAAATAATAATGACTTTCCTTTAATTGAAACAGATAATTTGTTATCCAATTTAAATGTTTTAACTTTGCACAGATACAGAAATATAGTAAATTTAAGTGGATAGCTAAGTTACAT